ATTATTTGATCAACATTCTGTCCAATTATTTATATACCTAATACAGCTTTGTCTATAAAGTTGTTTTATTTTATTATGGTAACTATTTAGTTTAATTTAGTTTCTGATTTATGATTTTATGTACTGTATTCGTATTATCATGTGTTGTATTAAATCAGAATTCTAATATAATATAAGTGTCTTGACCAGGACAATCTTGTAGTATATAGTATATAAAAATTATAGTATAGTTATAGTTTTTTTTCATCTCAACAAGGTTTTCCTTTTTAAATAAAGTTTAAAATAACAATAAAAATAAATACTTCCCTTACTTGTATGCTACATTATATAACCATATTAGGTCATTATTAAGACACTTAATTGCAGTTGATTGTTAAGACACTTTTATATTTCTCTTGTATGATCATTGTAATGATTTCCTCTCTTATCTGTCTTTCATATCACTTTTTGACGTGCTGTCTCACCAATAATGATAAAAACGAGGAAGAAAACGAAGAAGAAGAAGAATGTTGTGATTGAAAGTTCTTTACACGTTCAAGTTAATGTTGGAAAAAAAATCTCAACAAGGTCGTTTGAATCTGCTCTTAAACTCAAACTATTTTATCATTTTGAGAAAAATTCCTGCCTTGGGTTGAATGATAAGGCGAGATTAAAATCCTCTTCACTCTTCATTCATTCATTCATGACGTCTCTAACGTGCACCGAGACGCCTGTGCAGAAATATCCATTGAAACTGGGTAAATTACGTATGCTGAAAAAGCTCCAAAAACAGCTACTAATTCACCTTGTGGTGTTGTATTTAAAAGGATAAAACTTGTTAAACTTCAGGCTGGAACGGCTTCTTTTTGTGTGTGTGTGTGTGTGTGTGTGTGTGTGTGTGTGTGTGTTACATCAACTCAAATAAATAATGTATTTGAATGAGCGATCGGGGCGATGAGGAGGAACTTTTGTTCTTTTAGCATGAGCACATCTGAAGTAAAGAAAAAAGTTAAGGGGAGCAACTTTGACAAGATGTGTTTGACAACCTTGCCTACATAATGCCTAGATCATATACTAATGTTGTGATGGTGGTCTTGCAGGTGTAGCACCCACCCACCCTCCCGCTGGTGAAGCAAAATCATAGGTGGCTGTGAGTGAGTTTGGGGCGTTGCTGAGCATGGATTAGAATCAGACAGTGGGAGGCCTTCAGCAGTTTCCTGTGATTCTCAGGGTGCTCAGTGGAGACTTCCTCTCCAGATTGTGGCTGCCGGCAGCATGACATTCCTAGTTTTGCAATTGATCCGTGGGATAAACTAACAGCACGGGGGAGATTTACAAAGAGAGGAGCTGGGAAATGCTGCATCAGTCTCACAGACATGGGGAAACACAGTTGTACCAGGTGTAATTTGCACTGTATGGTTGCAAAAAAAAAAAAAAGTATGACCATGCAGAAAAGCACTGCTGCACTTGTACGGGTGTGTGCGTGCATTTGCACATCACAAGCATGTGGTCTCCTATTTTGTAGGTAGAGCGTGTAGCCTTTGTAGAGGCCCGGCTGTGCACAAATACCAAGCAGAGAGTGGCTGTTGAACTTTGGAAATGTCAGCCTGTGCTCCTCACAGACAGCACTATCAGTTCATTCCTGGGCGTCCTCTCCTGTCCTCCTTCCCTGCTCGTCTTAAAAACTTTCCCTGTGCCAAGGGTGACCTACTGAATTCTTTTGAAGCTGCTCTGTTTCCCGGGCATGGAGGAGCACGGAGGATACGTGCCCCTTAGTTCAAACACAAACAGGGTGTCACAAATAACCTTGCTAGTTTATCTCCCAATAGGAATGCCACTCCATAGCTTGTATGGATTATGGACATAGCCAGCATGATGTTACCCATTGGTTTGTCACTGCCTTTTTGAAGCCTCATGTTTGGCATGTTGGCTGCCTCCCAAGTTATTTTTCAGGAGCCAGAAGTGACCGTACTTGGACGAGAGGATGGAGCTTGGGATGAGAGAGGGGTTAGCAAACGTCTATATGTGGAAGCTTTACAGTCAAAACCTTACATATGGCTAACTCATTAGCTTTTTAGCAGACCGAGAGCTGATCATGTTTCCCATAGAGTGACTTTCAGTTGTCATTGATTAAACAAGAATAGCAAAGAGAGCTTGTGGAAATATAGCAATCACTACAACCTGCTTTTTCCTCTGTGGTTAAAGCCGGCAACAATCCTGACTCGCGTGCATGGGTAGCCACAAATGAATACATTGACTATACAACAAGCAATAAACTAACAAGCTCACAGCCACAGATACCTGCCCCCCAATAAGAGGTTTTCCCTGGTTGCTTAGTACAATAAACCACATAGAAAGCCATATTGTTCATCCAATAATGCATTAAAGACATCACAACAAACATGGTTATTACTGTAAGCCTAATCTATTTTGAGTTGATTTATTTAATGCATCTGCCCGTGTATAGTTGTATTCATAATCATAATCATAATCAGAAATACTTTATTAATCCCAGATGGAAATTCAGTCCTTACAGTTGCTCCAAAATATACAATATAGCAGTAATAAAAATATGAATCAAATAGAATAGGAATGTAAGTAAGATTTCAACAATGAAAAAGAGAAATTAGCTATAAAGACCAAAACGTGTTTAATACCAGCTGCTGTAAAGTTGAGAATTATAATATGAGACCTAATGGGGACTTTAATTTTTTTAATGATTCTCAGTGTTTTTGTCAAGGACAATACATGTAGGTGTTGTTACATCTAATTCAAGTGTAACCGATGGAATGTATATCGTACTTCTAGCCATGGCTCGTTTGCAGTCCTTGTATCTGGTTTTAGGCTTTTTAGGAAATAACACACATGACACAACAACGCTGTGAAATAGACATAAAAACTGACGATTGCTGTAGACGTAGATAAGCAGCGATCATACGGTAGATGCATAAAAAACGAACAGTAAAGGAGACATAGACAAGCAGATTGATCATAATGACTAAGAACAATAACTGTAGTAACAGCTATGAGCAAATAAAAAGAAAGAGGAGAAACATAAGCTATGTTTAATAACACTTGTGATTGACTCACTTTTGGAGCTGGCCTCGTGTGGTTACCTAAGGGACTGCAGTTTTTTTTTTTTTACACTTTGTCACTGGCTTCATTTATCAGCCCCTGAGGTGGCCTATTGAACACGGTCAAATCAGTGCAGAAAATCACAAACACACTGAAAACCCCCAAGATGTAGTCTTAAGAGATCAGCCATGCCATGAATACTTTAACATTTTCTTTTCAGTGTATCAGAGAGTATAACGATTAAGCATACCGGTAGTTGTTTTTCAAGGCAGTAGTTAAGTGCGATAGTTTGCCTTCCACTCCCCGCTCTACACCATGGGGAGCTGTCCATGGTGCTGCCACATGCTAAGCAATTTCAGGAATACATGCCACATAACAGTTCAGTTTACCTTGCAGCTTGCACTCCTTACTCATAAAAACCCAGCTGTGAAGGGGGGGGGGAAACATCTCCTTCACCAGCGTCCTCTTAACGCCCTGTTCCCCCCAGTGCTCCCCCTCATCACATGCCTCGGAGCCAGACACAGCATTGGCTCTCCTGAGAGGAGCGTCCTCCACCATTACTGTAAGGAATGCGTCGCATGATGAGCCTCCCTCATGTGTGCATTGTTTACATGTAGATGTGTGGTTCACTGAGAGGCAGCAACAGCGGCGTGTGATTGCTGCACCCCAGGCTTCTTGAGAATGCCACTTCAGAGGAAATGCAAAGTGAATGTGCACAGAAGACGCCAGAGACGCTCTACTTAATCTCTTATACATGCACAGTTCATGGACTCTGAAGGTCTCGCATGAGTCGTTCGAAGGGTAATCCGTATGCTAGCTATAATCAGTCCACCAGTGCTATACGGATAACAACAAGTTTATATCAAGCAACATCTTGCACATTCCTGCAAATCATATACCTTAATATTTGAATGTTTAGTAAGAATACTGCCATTCTCTATCTTTCTATTTCACTGTTTTGCAGGATAACACCAAAACAGATTCTTTGTGTGGGTAAACTTACTTGGCATAAACCTGCTCTGATTCAGATCCTGATATTCATTTTTTTTTTAATTTAAGCAATCTGCAGACTTTTCTTAACTGGCACAATATTACCAGCACAACTTAAGGGACTATTTTCTTTCACGGGTACATATCATGTTCTCTTCCACCTGGTTACCTTCCCCTGTCTGTTGAATCAAAGAAATAATCCATCAATCCTTTTGCTCCTCATGTGACAATTACTTCTTTGTCTTCATCTTCTTCTTCTTTTTCTTCTTCTTTTATCACATATCACCTCTCAGCAAACTGTTTTTGACTCCTGACCTTCTTTCACACCACAAAAGAAGCTCTAAATAAAAATAATGCTATCATTGTCTGCCTCCCTTCCCTTTTTCCTCTCGTGGACACGCACAGTCTCCAGGGGCATTTTGGAAAGCTCTTGAGTGCCCTCATGTGTTCATTACAGTTTACATGCTTTGGGTTCTGCATAGTGTGTGTGTGTGAGTGTGTGTGTGTGTGTGTGTGTGTGTGTGTGTGTGTGTGTGTGTGTGTGTGTGTGTGTGTGCGCGGGAGAGAGAGCAGATCAAAATGTATTTCCTGACTTTTTTCTCCCCCTTGAATCTGTGTAGAAGTTTGTATTTGTGACAGCTGCACATCCTCCTAGGTTCTGAAAGTGTCCGACACACATTTCCTCTTGTGCAATCACTTCTGACGTGAATTTCCTTGGGATATGTGCACTTTTGTGTATGTGTGTGTGTATGCGCAAATTATAAAACAAACCTGTGAGTGCACATGTCACCACTCAAAGGATATGAAGTGTTCCTCTTGTTGTCACTCTCTTTGAAGGTGCAGATATGATGATAGGCTAGGGGTATGTTTCAGGAAGTGTACATGAAACACGCTCCTTTAACAAGCAATGCGACAATCAAGCGTGACAGCCTGTCATCTCCTGTCTGTCTCCGCAGGAAGCGCTTTGAACCTGACGTGCCGAGCGTTCTTCGGCTACAGCGGTGACGTCAGCCCGCTCATCTACTGGATGAAGGGAGAGAAGTTCATCGAGGACTTGGACGAGGAGAGGGTCCAGGAGAGCGACATCAAGTAAGAAACACAGACGCAGATGGCAGTAATGAGGAATTAATAGACGACTTTAGACGAAATCTCTGGAAAATATTAAAGGATGGCACGAGAGGTTTTGCATGTTTTAGCCCATTAACTCCAAATTGCATGCGCTAAAGGAACCATTTTCCAGAGATTTATTTGCTGCCTTCCTAGCAGCTGCTTTGCTTCCATATATTTACTGAGGTACGAACATCATGTAGAGACTCGTTTTAAATCAATAATCGTGCATTTTGTCACCTTCATATTTTTGTTTAGACTACATTACTGTCATATGGAATAATCGCGCAAGCAGGTGAAAACAGGATAACTCATTATATGCTACATTGTGCAGATTAAAATAATAGATTGGGGCAGTATTGTAATTCAAACACAGGGTGATACTATTTAATAACTGAATCTAAATTGTTTCTATCCTATAGATCAAAACAATGTGTACAACTCATGAACACAAACAGCATTATTTGGAGGTTTTACATTCATAACCTACAGAGGAGCAACATTTTATGCTCCTATATGACTTTAATACTGTATCACAGCACTCTACAATCCTGGAGCCTGTGTATTGTGTTGTGTTATGCTGTGCTGCGCTGCAGATTCATATTGATTATGTGTCCCATGCCTCATTGCAGTTACCAGCTATGCTGTCGAAAAAAAAAGTCAAGACACAAAAAAAGCAAGCGAACAAAAAGTTTGTTGTTCTGCAGCTGAGTCGAGTCAGGGATGCCAGGGCGTCATCAAGTCTTCTGCAGCAAGCAAACAGAGTGTTCAAACCAGACCTTGGATGTAGATGCCTTATTAGTTCTCTTAACTGTGCGTCATATTGTGTGCATGCTGTGACGCAAGCAGGGCTCTACAAAAATATATAATAATAATAATAATAATAACTTTATTTATATAGCACCTTTTAAAAACACAGGTTTACAAAGTGCTTTGACAAACAGCAAGAACAAAGCAAACTAAACACAGAAAAACATTAACAACAGTAAGAATATAACAGATGCAAAATACCAAAAATAATTAAAAACAATTCAACAGAAAAGAACCCAAAGTGCACGATACACAACCAGACATATATAACCCAACCATCATAAGAACCATCATAAGAACCCAGGAACACAAGAACCCAACAACATGAGCTGAGACCAAGAGGACCAAAGATTTAAAAAGATGTAAGAAACTAAGAGATAAAAGCAAATAAAAAGCAATGAGAAGGTAAGCGCAGTAAAGGAAATATCTCCATATTGACATGATCTGAGACGAATGTAGTTGTTATGTAATGGACACTGCTGTCCTTTAGGTTCATGGCTAACAGCTAATAACAGAGTTCACTAATCTGCTGTGGCTGATGGTCTTGTTCTCTTTACTGACACTTGACTGAAAGCTACTTGACAATTGAAAAGTCTGCTAAAAATGTGTTGCTACATTTGTTAAATTGTAATTTTGAGTAGTTTAATCAGGAGGACTAAAACAGATTCATCTGCTTCTCTTGCCAGTTTAGCTGAAAGCAGTGCACAGATTGATTATTTTTTCTATAAAAAAAAAGAAATGCTTGGACAAGGATCTAGCAAGTTTTCATGTCAGTTTAATTGTAATTTGGACAGTGTTAGAAAGTAGGACTCTATCTCCATTTAGACAGTAACATGAGAATCAATTTGTTCTTTTTTCGGTCCAGGGGGAAGTTGTTTTTTTTTTCATCTCTTTATCTAATTTTGGTTTATCTGCAACAACAAAAAAGATGCACTTTCGTTGCAACGCTTAATTGTGAAATACCAGTTTTACGATAAGAAACGCTGTATCTTGCTTCCTGTCCCCCCGCATGTGTCTCCTCTTCATCCTGCACAAAGTTTGACTGCACTAAATAGGGAAAAGCAGTTTTTGCAAATTGCAGCTCTCTTTACTATTTCAGTGAAGACATTGTAAAATTTGCCCAAGCAGCCTTACTCTCAGGCCTCTCAGACATTCAGAGCGAGCCCATCTCCATGTCTCTCGCTCCTCGTGGTGTAACACATTTAAACAAGTCCATTCCCTGGTCCGTGTGCATGTTTCCCATTAGGGCTGTTTGGAGAGGCTGCAGCTCTGGGGAGACAGTCCTGTCAGATGGTTAACAACCGCCATTTTTCACATCGCCGCCGCTGTCGCTATCTCCCTCGCTGCACCCACCTATAGCAGCATGCAGATGGGCCATGGGAGCTGAGGGGGGGAGGAGGAGGAGGAGGGGGAGAGAAAGAAAGTGGTAGCAGACAGGGAGGAAGTAGAAAGAATAAGAAATATGTTAGAAGTCACCAAGACGGAAAATAAAGAAGACACGTTCGTGATAGCAAGTTTGCTAGTGCGCTGATAGAAACATGCAGCAGAAGCAAATCTCATTTTAATGCACCGACCCTGCTCTCCCGTCTCTCTTTTCTTTGTCTCTCCCTCTATTACTCCCTGACACCAGGATTCCCCCCCTCTCACCGGCTGAGGGGTTATCATTTCAATAATTCATACTGATAATTCATGCAGCAGATCAATAATGTATTTGATCTTGCTGATGCTGCTGCCATAAGCTTTTTTTCTCATCCCTCCACCACTGCCTTGATTTTCCCTTTTATAATAGCAGACGTATAGGTCGGGCAAAGATGGGAAGCAATGGAGAGACAAGAAAGACATGAACGAATTTGTGCTCGCCCTGCAGGCAAGCTCTCTTTTTTTCATGTTTCTGCGGGTTACTGCTTTTCTTCAGACAGGCACCTACACACTTTGAACTTTATCACTAATGTATCACCAGCCGAACTTCAGCTAAGACACAAGCTCTCGCACCTTGAGCTGCAGAGTTTTCTGCAGGCTTTTATTTACCCATCAGTGGAGCCTATTGATTCGGAGGAGTTCATTTCTATGGCAACCGAGCCCCATAAATTCTCATTTGCACTATTGGGACAGGAGCTATTGTTGTTATCATAGCATGGATGACTGAGCATTAGCATAGCACGCAGATATTAATAAAATTAGCCAAACAAATCTGGCTCCGCTTAAAAAAATCAGGTGATGGATTTGCAATTGATCCATTAGCTGGTGTTTTGCAGTTGAATGGAAATCAGTAAATGAATGGATATGTCTCAAATTGATCTTTATATTAGCAAACACTGAGGTTTTTGCTTGCAAGGAAGTAGAGAAAAGTGCCTGTTGTCAAAGCACCAGGAAGCATTTCACTCATTTGGTAACATCTTGGGTTAGCTGAAGTTAAAAATCAGTCTTGTACAAATTCACTCATCAAACCAAGCTGTGGATGTGCTATCATTGCTCTTACACACAGTTGTTATCACAAATGACTGGACATTAGCTTAGCATGAAGAGATTTGGTAACACTTTATAATAATTATCATCTATAAAGGGTAAATAATTGTTAATAGATAGTTAAGTAACCATTAGTTAATAGTTATTTACTGTTAACAAACAATGAAATTATAGTTAATAATGTTTGCTTATGATTTGTAATGCTTTTATTAATCATTGATAAAATATTAATTATCTATCTAAAAATATTTATAGATGCTTTACAAAGTATTAATAAGGGATTATAATCTTCAATTCCAACTTTATAATAACATCCCAATAATGTTAATAGACGCTTTATAAAATATTTACCAACCATGAACAAATATCTGGTCCATGTAGCTCTGTAATGTTTATAGATGTTTTATAAACCATCTCTTAAAGGTTTATAAATCATTTGGTCATCATTAACAAACGCTTTATAAAGTGTATAAAATGTTATAATTTGTGCATCAATAAACTGTTAACATAACATAAATTATAGCATTACAAATCATTAGCAAACATTATTAACTATCATTTCATTGTTTGTTAACAGTAAATAACTATTAACTAATGGTTAATTAACTATCTGTTCACCCTTATTTACCCTTTATAGATGATGGTTATTATAAAGTGTTACCAAAGATTTTAGATAGCTAAACAGATGTGGCGCAGCATAATAAAGAAGCTGATCGATTTACTATTGGACCAGTTCAGTTGGTGTTTTGCAGATTAATGTTCAATCAAATCTACAAACAGAATGAATATGTTTACAACTACATGAGCAAACACAGAAGTATTGATGGGTAATGAGAAAGGAGAGATTAGCACTTGAAGTTATAGATTCTAATTTGGCCAACTTTTTCACACAAAAAGAACAGGGGACAATTTATCAGCATTTTATGTTTATGTAAGTTTTATGAAAATGATACTAATCTAATTTTATTAACAATATAGGGAACATTTTGTTTTAGACACAGCTATAAGCAATGCAGTATAAATAATCGATTGTATATATCATGGACTACAAGTCGCCATCTCCTTTCGTTGTATAAAATTGAAGCCAAAACATCACTCTAACAGGCACTGACATGACAGCAACAAAACAGCAAAGATCCCTCAGGTTGGTACAGTCCACAGCTTAACAGATTCTTGTGTCCGTTTAAAGCAAACGTTTTCATCACATTTCCTCTTGCCGTTCCTTCTCACCTTTGCTTATCCGGTAAAGAATGCTGCAGGAGCCGACAGAGCTAAAAGACTAAAGACAAACTAAAGCTCTCAGAAGCATCTGGAGCCAGGACATGCACAGAAGGGATCTGGCTGGTGAAGCTGCGGAATTATCACCCCATACTTTCCACTATAACCAAAGTAGAGATTTAACTGGCTCATAAAATGGCAAATATTCCTCAGGTTGTTAACCATCTACAGCAGAAGAGATTTCTTTTGTTAGAATTAGACACTCATTAAGGAGAGTTCAGACACTCTTGTGTTAGGGTTGGTTATGTTTCCTCTTGCGGTTCTTCCTCCAATTCTACATTTAGCAGACGCTTTTATCCAAAGTGACGTACATCCTGATGCTGCAGAAGCTGCTTTTGTCAGCAGAGATGTTAATCATGACCGTAAATCATCTCTTCTCACATCATAAATCAGTTAAAACTAAAAACTTTTCAGAAAATGTAATGCTTTGACATAAATCATTATCATGATAACTTTCACAACTGAATCCAAATTTGAGAAAAAAAAACTATTTAAAGTGTATTTTGATTTCCAAATTTGACCCCTGTCCCATCTGTTAACATGGAGGAGGCAGGGATTATGACCTATACTGCATCCATTCAGTAGAGGGCGCTCCAAATTTTTTGGTTTCACTTCCAGTGGATTATTATTTTGTCCATCTTTTTCTAATCTAGAATAAATCCACTCTAAAGCCAAGCTGTTTGTGCTTCATCTTTTAGCACTCTTCTCTTATCAAAGCTTAAATAACTCTGCTGTCATTTAAGTAAAATTAAATTATTAAAAGAAATCTTGCTCTACATTTTAGAGAAGATGATCAGTTTTTTTATTTGCTATGTGAATGGACAAAGTGAATCGTTAATGTTGGAAACTGAACACTTAAATTCTAATGAGGAAGATAAGGTTAGCGCCTGCAGCTACAGCTTGAGGACACTTCCTACTCATTTGGCTAACTCAATAAAGACAAGCTGGTTCATGTTAAAAGAAGAGAAGAGGTTTCAGAGTTTTGAAAGATTTATAGAAAATGATTTAATGTGAATCAGCAGTACACTTGTTGCATTAGGCGTAGATATCCATTGTCTTGTACTGTTTTAAATTCACTTTGAAAGCTATCTCTTTGTGTCTCATTAGCTGCCACTCAGTTCTCATTTGCATCGATGTGCTTCACCTGGACCCTTGATATCCCTCCTCTAACTTCGGGTCCTCATCATTGAAGCTCAGGTTTGCGCAGCGTTGGGCATTATTCATCAGGTTGTATCGCAGCGAGCTGTGATGGCTCGTACGGTGTGATAATGGGAAACTGGAGGCTTCAAAGTACCCCACCACTCCCTGGAGAGACATGAATTATTCCCGTGCCTCCTCCTCCCAGCGATCCCCCCCCCCCCTTACCCATATTGCACAACAAACTCAGCTGAAACTACAAACATCATCAGCACTGCCTCAGCCTCTCCAAGCAAAAGCCCATGATACACTTTCAATTACAGATGCCAAATCTCCCCCAACGAGCCGTCCTTATGCGCAGTTTACCGGCTCGAAGGCACGAGAGAGAGAGAGGAGCGATGCTTGAGAGTCATTATCCCTCTGCACACACTCGCACACACACACTCTCAATCTCTTTCCTCATCCCACACTCCTTCGCTATTAACACATTCAGTAGAAAATGCACTGAGTAGATGATGCTCACACATGCGCGCACAAACAGAGGGGATCTCTTTCTCATTTGCACTTTGTTTCCCTCCAAAGTGTCATTTGTGCTGAGGGGTGCTGTAAAAAAAAGTGGGCTAAGTAGTGCGCCGAAGGTATGAGGGAGCATTATCTCCCCGTTCCTCTCCTCCATCAGCCTCAAACAGCCCAGCGGGGGGGGGGGGGGGACACACACTCATTTACTTTATGGAATATTACTTTCTCTCTCCTTCTCGCCGTTACCATGGCAGCCGCTATAAAAAGATTCTCTTCTGATCGCTGTTATTTGATTCCCCCCCCCTCTGCACACTCCAAGGAAGAGCCCCTTATTGATTTTCATTTCTCATATGTTTTGAGTGCCGAGAAAGAAATTAACATACCGTGAATTGCTTACAGTAACACAAAAGAGGCTTCGTCGAGGTACAGTTGCTCAAAAACCGTTGCTCAAGGGCGTTTTATGGTGTAACCTTGTGAAATGGCAACACAATACTTTTCTGTAAGTGCTGCACTATGGAGCAGGCCTCTTGAAACCCTGCTATATACTGTACAAGCTTCTTGCAATGACACAGATCATGTAAAAACCTAAGTGCTGCTTAGTAAGTGTTTGTTTGTTGTTTGTAGGGTTGTGAAGGAGCACCTCGGCGAACAAGAAGTGGCCATATCCTTGACGATCGATTCTTTGGAGGAGGAGGACCTGGGAAATTATTCCTGCTATGTGGAAAATGGAAATGGCCGTCGCCAAGCTACCATCCAGCTCCTCAGGCGCGGTAAGAGTCTTTTGACGTAACCCTTTTCACATCCACTTTTCTGCTTTTTATCATCTTATAATTGGCCTTTAGCATTAGCAGGAGAGATCATGAGTCCTCACATGGTTGGCAGAATCCTATATATTCTGTATCAGCCAATTCCCAACTCTTCATTAAAGCTATATGATGAATGAAATATTCAAAGCCCTGCAACGCTATTTTGATCAAATGGAAAT